TGTCTGCGTGTATATGCTGTGTGTATGGTGTGTGTATGGTGTGTGTATGGTATGTATGGTGTGTGTATGGTGTATGTATGGTGTGTGTGTATTCTGTGTGCGGTTGTGCCTTAGCAGTAATCACTGTGCCGCTCCTGCACTTTGCCCCTGATCGTTGAGGCCCTGGCAGTGCTGCCTGTTTTCCCCGCCGGATTGAACCTGCTGGCTAATTGACTGGAAGATAATGGCCCCAGGAACCAGGACTGTAACCAAGGCAGGGGGTTCCCTCCCTGGCGGGGGGGGGGGGGTCATCCTGGTGATGTAATCAGTCTCACGCGGCAGCATGAGAACCATGCCACTGGCGAGTGGGGGAGGGGGCTTTTGAGTACAGTGCTTGGACAGGTTGGGGGGGATTGTGAGGTGGGTGTTCACCACAGAGCCCGGAGCTGGCAAAAGGTTTTCGCTCAGCAGTTTTGGACCCAAAAGGACAAATCCACAGCACAGCATGTACACACACTCACACACACACTCATTCACACACACACACACACACACACACACACACAAACTCATTCACACACACACACACACACACACTCATTCACACACACACACACAGATCCGCTCACATCCACAGAGATGCCGTGTTTGGATTCATGGTGACGGTGGCTCTGCACTGGTACGTGTCTGTCCTCTGTTTCTGTCCTTTGTGTATGTCCCATGTCTGTGGTAAATATTTAAAGATCAGCTTTGATTCCCCCCCATGAACTCTGTCACCTGATGGGGGGGGGGGTGGCTTTGAAGTCCCCGATCAATCCTTCTCCTGCCTTCTGGGGACAAGCGATATGCGGGTCGCCCCCCTGGCCCCAAACAAACATTTCCTGAGCATCAGGACCAATTCAAATCCCCTGCAGGGGGTGCTAGAGAGCGAGCAGAGTGGTGTGACATGGGCCAGCCGGGAGTGACAGCTAGCTTGTCCCCTCCCAGGTACCACTTGACAGCCTGTGTGACCCCCCCAGAGACATAGGACAGGATGCAGGATTGACTCAGGACCGTGAGGTTGTCGGTTCAGACCCCGGATTGGGACAGCCATCGCCCCCCCTCAGTAAACAGCTTGTTGCCGTGTGTGACGCACCGGACTGCTGGGTGTGTCTCAGCTCACGCCCCGGTCAGCTGCGCTGTGCCGCACCACGTTCCCACTCCACTGACTCACGTATTTGTTGTCATTTCTCCTCTGGGTCGCTCTTGGGTCAGGCTTTGTTTAGGTCCCTTAGTCATGCGTGGCTGTTGATTTCTGTCTCGCGTGGCTGTTGATTTCTGTCTCGGCTCGTACTGTGGTGGTTTGCTGTCTGTCTGTCAGTGTCTTTGTCTTTCTGTCTGTCTCTCTGTCTGTGTTCCTCTATCTGTCTCTGTCGTTCTGTCTCTCCCTCTGTCTGTGTTTGTCAGTCTCTGTCGTTCTGTCTGTCTCTCTGTCTGTGTTTCCCTGTCTGTCTCTGTCGTTCTGTCTGTCTCTCTGTCTGTGTTTCTCTGTCTGTCTCTGTCGTTCTGTCTGTCCCTCTGTCTGTGTTTGTCTGTCCCTGCCTGTCTGTCTTTCTCAGACCAGTTGGGTTCAGCTTTCATCTTATTGATCTGGCCCAGCAGTACATGCAGTATAAGGGGTGGTATGTCTGGTGGTTGGGGGGGAGGGTGTTTTTCAGTGTGTGGGGTGTAGCTACGCTGTCCCAGGAACGCCAAGCATCCCGGCTATATCCCACTGGCCGCTCCCCCCCTCCTAAAGCTGCTCAGATCTGCCTGGATCTTTCCGGGATCTTTCCGGGATCAAAG